ATTAATGCTTAAATACCCCAACAGGAATTTCCAGCGTATTATGCTGAACCTGTATATTATTCTACAATTCCAGTATATTATGTTGAAACTCCAGCATATTATGCTGGAAATTTACATGTAAAAAATTCAAACTCCGGTATATTATGCTGGAATGTTTTCCGAATTTTGAATAGTATTTTCGTTCAAATTTATATTTACATGAAAATTGACTAAATTCGATTATTTTGAAATTATGGCTATATTTTCAGTTTCACCCTGAAAAAGGTTTGTGCATTTTGATCATGGTATAGGACCAAACACTCTTTTACTTCACATGTAATTTAGTACATCTTGTTTTCAGAAAAAGACTTGAAACAACAACTCGTAAGTGATTCCTTTCGAAAATCAACTTTCCACTTGTGCATCAAATCTTTTCGTTTGAACTTGAAACTTAAATACATATTGTTATGAATGAGTATTCAGGATATTGCACACCAGACATCATAAATGTTTATGTAAAATGAGAGTCGGAGAAGTGGAGAACTGCCTTTTAATGATGAAAGAAAAATTTAAGTCTAATCAACCGGAGACAATATTTATTGTTTGACCAAAAAAGTATAAGACCTTTTTGTTAAATTAATTAAATAAGAAGATAGAGGGTAAATTTTAATTAAAGATAATTAATTCTAGATTTGAGATGAATAACATGAATAGGAAAATATAATTAAGTATAAATGTTGGCGGTGATTATGGCCATATTTAATAATATGAAAAAAGATGCTTTAAGCAACAACAAATGGCAATAAAATGTAAATAAAGAAAAAGACTCACCCAATCTTGAGTGACCCGGGTCCTCTTTCATTTGATAAAGATGAATGATTGACAAATACAAGAATCTAAGGACCCTTTTCGTATCTGATGGAGGGTATGTGATAACAGATAATCTAATCTCTTTAGAGAGATTGGTTATACATTTTCTAGAAAGAGAGTCTGCCCCCTTTTGAGAAGTCCTCTTTTCCTATTTATAAGGGATATCCCTAGAAAATCCTAAAAAAGTACAATTAGAGGGAATATCCAGTAGAATATTCCCTTTGAATTTCCAAAGCAAAACTAGCTGTTACATCTATCCGCACTGCTCGGCCTTATTGATCACTACTCGACCTCGGCCTCGGCCTTATAGATCGCTGCTCGGCCTCGGCCTTATAGATCGATTCTTGACCTCGGCCTTATAGATCGTTGCTCGGCCGCGACCTTATAGATCGCTGCTCGTCATCGGCCTTATAGATCACTGCTCGACCTTGGCCTTATAGATCGATGCTCGGCCTCGACCTTATTGATCAGTGCTCGACCTCGGCCTTATTGATCACTTCGATTCGCAGGTTACTCATGACAAGTGTCTCCGCATGCCGAATTTCTCCGATTTAATTTTGACCCATACATTTATGACTCGGAATATAGATATATATGTTAATAACTTTTAAATTTTAATAAATATTACATTCTGAATCATAACTTCAAAATATCCAAAGTTGCAGCCAAACGTTTGGGTAGAACGAAGAGGTGCGACTCAAAAGTTGCAGCCTTTAAGGTGACCTTTCTCAAAAATGGCCATTACATAAACGACTATTCTCGTAAAATAAAATAGAAAATAAAACGAGCGAAAAAATTAAATTACCGTTGTAGAAACGGTTGATTTGGATTCAAAATATTAATATAATTTTAATATTTAATAAATAAATTTGGTCCAAAAAATTAATCAATCAAATCATCATTTGACTAAATACGAAGCTGATGCCAGGGACGGCCACAATGTTAGGTTTGAACTTACTCTCAACTCTTTAAGAGTCAGAAGAAGTGTATTTGTGTATATATCCAACAAATATTTTATCTTCCTCTAATATGGGACAATATTTGAGAATATTAAATTTTTTATTTCCTTCATTTTCCATTCACACTATTTTAAGCTAAAAAACCAACATAACTTTTAACTGATCAATATGTTTTGCCGTCAATGATATATCCGGAGTTGAGTAAATTCCTGAATAAGACGGCGCGAAAAACAGAAGAGAAAAAGGAACTATTTACGGTATGGATTTAAGTTATATACAACAATAATAGTCATTATTAATGAATTTATCCTATGATAGCAGGTTAAGTGTCATTTTTATTAGATTATCAAATAATATTTCAGTATATAAAATTTAAACTCAATATTGTGGTTGGAAAAGAAAGATAGCAGGTGGTGAAAAGGTCTATGCATTTTGATCATGGTAGAGTACTAAATACTCTTTTACTTCACATGTAATTCAGTAGATCTTGTTTTCAGGAAAAGACTTGAAACAACAATTCGTGAGTTAGATTCAAATCAACCTTCCATTGTACTTCAAATCTTTTCGTGTAAACTTGAAACTTTAATATATTGTTATGAATGAGAGCAATCAGGATCGATTTGCACACCAGAGATCATAAAGTTTATGTGAAATGAGAGTAGGAGAAGTGGAGAACTTCCTGTTAAAAAAATTTATGCAACAGAGCAAATATATACATTATATTTATTATTCGTACACATACTTTTCAAAAAATTACCATTTGTAGCTATATTTGAATTTTGTAGCAAATTCAGCTATAGTACTGAAATAAAAAATCAATTGTTTTGAATTGAAATTGTAGCTCAAATGGTTAGAACATCCGCTTAGTAAGCAAAGGTTCTGAGTTTGACTCTCAACAAGAGCACATTATATTTCGTATTTTTGTATTTTATATTGGTTGTATTTGTTGCGCGAATGAATACGGGTTGTATCCTGTACATACACCTCCGTATTTCACCATATTTGTTGTGCAAAAGAATATGATTGATACGGGTTATATTCGTTGTGCGAAAGAATACGGTTGACACTCGATGTATTCGTTGCGCGTCTGAATATAAATGATACAAGCTGGTAACAATTTAGACTCTAAACTGCAGTGCTTTATAAAAATTCCTTTGAAACGAAAATTTAAGCCTAATCAACTTAATTATGCTAGTTGTTAGTAGAGTAAAGCTCACTAATCTCATTGATTACTCTTTATGGTAAATGGTGCTAATTAATTAGTATAAATCTGTATACTTTAAAATTTATGAACCATATATTTATGATTTGAAGAATGGCGGAGTGTAACCATTATTTATCTCTAAGATGTCAGAACTGCACATGCTTAATGGTTCTATATAAAGATGGTTAGATACAAATCTCAGTTGCTGTTCTTTTTTTCTTTTTGCTGAAAAAGATCTCAGTTGTTGATAAATTTGTTTATCTACCTCACTAATTGCAAATTACAATAGTAGGAATTAGTATATTTCAAATGCTGAACTAGTTTGTTTACCCTGGAATCCGGATAACAATTGAATTTATATGGGGTTTTAAGGATCCGTGAACTAAAAGATACAAAAGGTTTGGATTGAGGAAAATAAAAGATAAAGACTCAACAATTGCTGCTAAAGTAAATAATCGCAGAATATAATATTGCTTAGAACAATTGTGCTTGATAGCGTACAAGAATTGAGAGAGATGGTACCGTAGTGTAATGGTTTCCGATGCCCTCTTTATGGGGTCTTCTCCCCTTTTATACATTCTGATTAAGGGTAAAAATAAGGTAGGTAAATTAATTACATCGTGGATCCCTGTAATTACGCCTTAATGGCCTGAAGTGGTTGAGAAAATCACGTTAGGGCGAGATATCCGGCGACGCTTGGTTATCCGTTACGAGTCCGGCTTCCGACCTTGTGTGTTTCTCCATCCGGTGGTGACTCATATCGAGCTCTGCAACGGTCTCGAAATGACTCGACCTCGGTTGTTGACGTGGCCGTCGTTCTACCTTGCATCCAGGTCGGGTTCGATGGCCCCGACTTGCCCCGGACCGGACCCAACCCGGTCGGGCTCAAGCAAAAAGGGTATCACCCAATACATAGTTATTTGTAATTAGTATTTTGATTAGAAAGTTTAAGTTTGACGAAATATTATTGGAACATCAAGTAAAATATTGAAATATTGGTTTGACCGTGTATCTCAAGTAAAATGTGCTGGCTCAATTAATATAAATTGGCATCGTGAACATTAATTAGTCTTTTCCCAATTAATATCCAACATCTACACAAGAACGATTTTGATAAAATAGTTTAGATTATATTAACTACTCTAGGTGACGGGTTCAATTTCGTCGTGCAATCCGGACGTTGATCTTTTAATAATCTAAGAATAGTTTGTCCATGTTTGGAAGTTACATATGAATACCTATAGTAAGTGAAGATGTACATTTTCGCTATTCAAATATTATTCACTCTCTAATACTCTCAATTAATTAATATGAAATACTATGGTTTATTATTTTGAGTTAGTCTCAATCTTCATATTTTTGTAGATGAATAAAACTTTAATCACTCATTTGTTAAAGAATTTTGAGTGTCAACAGTGCTAATTAAGAAATTTGATATATAATTTTCGATAGGAACTATTAGGCGGGCAAAGGCTAACGCTTTAGGCGTGTTTCAGGTGGACAGTCAGGCGCCTGAGGTGTAAGTGTTAAAGAACTAAATCCCACAAGTGAGCCTCAGAGCGTTTTGATAGTGCCCCATTAGGTCATGTCGTGTTAGATTGGGTGCATAAAAAAAAGTCTATCTTCGCATAATTAATACAGTGTTTTGGTGGGCTATATTAAGCAATAATGGTATTTAAAGACAAAAAATAATTTTTTAAAGCAACTTTATAGTATATAAAAAATCTCCTCGTTATTAATCACTGCCCAATCCTTTTGATATAATCTACACAAAAAGTTCTTATTATAATCCTAGTTATATAGTATGTGTAAGTACCAAATTATCCCTTACTAACATCTGAAGATTAGTCAAGCTGATGAGAGAATCAATTCGAGATTGTCTTAGGCCAAAATACAGGGCAAACAGTACGGCGTCATTTATCACATGCATTGTTCATGACCTAAACAATCGCATAAAGTATCGACAGAGACATTTCCACCCACTCTGAATTTTCAATTACTTTACGCGGGTGCGAGCTACCACAGCATACGCTCAATGGTTCTATATATATATATATATATATATATATTAATCAGCTCAAGTGATGCCAAAAATTCTGAAGAAGAAAAGGAAGACGACGAAGATTTAATCAGAGAAATTAAGGGAAATGGGAGAGAACAGAGAGCCATTGTTGCAGAAGCGAGAAGAAGAAGAAAAATATGAGTATTTTGAGGATTGTCCTGGTTGTAAAGTTGATCTGCTTAAACGCTTCGATTCCAGCATTCCTGTTAAGGCCGTCTTCTACATCTCCATCGTCACTTTATGCGCTGGTCAACTCTCTCTCTCTCTCTAGAATTTATGATTTTTTTTTTCTTTTTAAATTTGAAGGAATTTTTTATGTTTGTCTGGTCATTTTCTTGCTAAAAATTGATGACTTGAAAATTCTTATCATGAAAAGCGCTTAGTAAGGAGACATTTGTTGAGAATTTGGGGGAATTGGATTTCAAGGGTTGAAACGTCAATTTCCTTTTCTCTTAATTTATGAATTATGAAAATGACCACCATAGTCAAAGACGACTGTTTCAGCCTTTTAAAGTCATAGTGCGATACGAACAGTCTCCAATAATTTATACTATCACACCAGAGATTAAACTTGTGAGCTAGAGTAAAATTTGAACCTGATTTGCCGTTGCACTAAATCTTTCCTTATATTAAGATTTACGCAGTATAATATTTTTTGCTTCTGTTAATATTTGATTTTCGTTGTTATATCGAAAGTTACTCTTTACACGTTTGATGTAAGGCGATAACACGAAAGAGGGAATCAAAGCTTTTAAATAATAAGGACATAAATTACTAAATTCACAGAACAATTAGTCAGAACATAAATTATTGGAGCTTCCGTGCTGTGAATTGTGATTAAAGAAAAATATTAAAATTCTACGACGTACTTATCAATATGCACTATTCATCAGTCATTGTTTTTATATTTAAAGTAACGTGTACCCAACTACAGTACATATTGCTTTCTTAAGATTTTGGTGTCCCACGTTTCTCTTAAAAAAGTCTTTATCCCCGTTTTGTCGTTACTTTTTAAAACTTAACCTGCTTTTGGATTCGTCAGACGTCCACATGGGCACATCGTTTTCTCCAATTTTTGGCCTTTGTTGCTCTTTTATCTTTCTTTATTATATTTAACACTATCATTCTTTCATGTGCTTGGGGGATGGATTCTAAACGCTATCATCAAAGGCACTGGTCTAAAGATAGTTACACGCACTGACTAACAAAATATTTTATGCTAGCTGCGCGCTTAAAAGATATTTACAGCCTTACAGGCAAAGGTTTTATGATAGATATTAGTAGGTAATCTTGTGAAAATAGTAACTAACCTGCTACGAGATGTTAATGTTAATACTCATCATTACATGCAAAGGGATTTCCTTTGATCCGCAGAGTGATCCGACTCGTAATTCACTTCTGACCCATGTTCAATAGCCCGATCGATAATGTAAACTTTTTACACTGTCACGTTTGCTTTTGTTAAACTAGCTACATACTCTATTTAGTTCAGCAGAGGTTCCCTGAAGAGAATTAAAAAGGTCCATCCTGGAAAACGTAAGCTGAGAACCATCAATGACAAAAAGCTGTATCTACTTTTAGTAGTTGTAAATTGAAACTTCTTTTTATAATGAATGTGTATAAATGAACTGACCAATTTCCGAAATGAAAGACGGTCCTTAACCNNCCCCCAAAACATAAACTGAGTTTAGCACAAAACCAATTGATTAGATATTAGGGTCAGAAATATGCAATACAGCGTGCCTGGCTATAATATAAGCTTGAAATGAAAAGGTTAGGTGATTTCTTCCAATATATTTAAGTGTTGGTGGATAGAGTTACCTGGTACCTCTGCTAGCGATGAAAGTAACAGTGATCAGACGAAATAATTGAGGTGCGCGCAAGCTAGCTTCGAATATCATTATTATACAGGTGGTAGAATGTTACATAAAGAAGTATATCATCTTGTTTATAAGACGTACAAAGATGAAATATAATAACTCATGGAATAACATGCATATTTGTACATCCCTTAGTGCATAATCTGTTAAAATTTGTTGATCATCTTCGTCCTCAATTGGTAGAGATTTTGGACTAAGATGAAATGTTTTGGAGCTTCTGAAGGGATACATGTACCAATTTTAAACATGTTCTGCTTATACTAGTGACATTTTATTATCCTAGCATTAGCTTTGTCTCGCATAAACATATTGTCAGTTGAAAGAAATTGTGAAGCTTAAATTTTTCCCAGGCTACTTCTATTCTTTAGGAGTTTTTCACTAACCTACTTTGTTTCTAATACCTTTTGCAGCTTTGCCAATATCATCTCTGTTCCCTTTCCTCTATTTTATGGTAAATACTAAGTTGAAGACTTGCTCTTACATTTCTTGGTTCTTTTTATATGATACGCCATATAATATTTGTTTTCATTCATGTACTAAAAGTAGTTTGGTCAATCATTTCCCATGTTGGGTTGTGTCATCAACCTTAAGGTTTATAAATCATCAACCATAAAGTTTGTCTCTTTTTGTGTCAAATAGCCAAATTCATGTGCGTAACTGATGCAGAAGTTTGTGTTGGAGAGATAAATGTGTGATTTCCCATAAAACCCTCCAACTTCTTTGAGCCACTGCAATATTGTTTGTTCAATTTTTGTGACAGTGCCTATAATTTAAACTTGCACTATGGATAAATCTTTACATATGATATCTCATTTCAGTATTTACCGAGATTCAGTTGTCACTCATGCCCTTCAACTCTGGTGATGGCCTCTAGTGAAACCATTTATATCTTAATTGAGACTCTCTCTCTTCTTATCCATAAGAAAGCTCCGTTCTTCTTGGTTACTTTTCTATTTTCCACCTACTTGGCATCTAGATTATGGTTATGCCAATATCAACATTTGATTCCTGTAGGTCAGAGATTTTCACATTGCGGATAGGGAGGAAGATATCAGTTACTACGCTGGATTTGTAGGTTAGCTTCATTTCCTCGGTGCTTCTGACTACATGAGTTTTCAGAATTCATATCTTATATTTCTAGATTTCTTGAAGGTTCTTCATTCATGTTGGGAAGAGCTTTGACATCTATTCTTTGGGGAGTGATTGCTGATCGTTATGGTCGAAAGCCAGTTGTCATTATCGGGACAATTACAGTGTTAGTAGTGCTGTTTTACTACTGTCATGGTGTATAAGGTTTTCTTCAGTAAATATTAGCTCAATTCAATTTATTTTCATTTCACTCAAATTTTCTTTAATAAATCAACTGCAGGGTTATCTTCAATGCACTCTTTGGCCTTAGTACGAACTTTTGGATGGCTATTATTTTGAGGTTTCTCATGGGTAGCATGTGTGGAATAATTGGCACTATGAGGGTAGGCCTTCATTTCTACTTGATAAAAAAAGTTTGTATAAGTTATAAGCGCTATATTTTTTCTGGGATTGACATCTTGGTTTGCATGTTTAAAATACAAGTCTCTTTTAACTTACAGGAGAATTTGATGAAAATACAGATATTCTTTTCTATCTTATTTAATCCTGGAGAGGGGTTCATGTTCTTCTCAGTTGATAGTCCTCTTTGGTAAAATATAATGTCGTAATCTAGTTGATTTCCTAGTATCCATCTCTTCCTCTTTGTGCCACAAAACTACTTAAGATGGTTTCTTATACAAGTCAGGATGTTTTGTAGAGTTTATTACTATGCATTATCACAATATAAAAAATTAAAAATGTACTATAGGTTTAACTACAGACTATTGGTTTAGTTACCTATCTTTTCATGAAGTTAATAATTTATTGATGAATCCCCAGCAGAGAAGATGTATATAAAAAGTCGAGAATCTCATATAAGAACATGATTCTCTATAAAGAGCAGTGAGTGTTTTCTTGTAATTTGTTTTTTCTCTTGTTCTCTGCTGTTCGTATAATTAAAGATTCGTGCATGTATATCAGGAGTTTTTCGGTTAGCTAGTTGTTTAATTTATAGTATTCTTCACTTTCAAATTTCCAGGCATATGCTTCTGAAATTTGCCGAAAAGAATACCATGCTTTGGGGATATCTGCTGTGAGTTGCTTCTCTCCCTATCTTGTATCCATTTTTTCTTGAGGACAGTTTTCATTGTGTAATCTCGAAAGCCTAGACAACAATGATTATCCATCTATTTTAGGTAAGCACATCATGGGGCATTGGCTTGGTTATTGGTCCTGCTATTGGAGGTTATCTTGCACAGGTACACATAGTTCCCCTACTATAATTCTTTGTCTAATTTACTCTAGTGACGACTGAAAAACCATATTCCTTAGAGAAGTTTCTATTACTTCCATTTGAATTTTGTCACAATAATAAGGTTTTGGTCAGTAAAAACAATCATTTACATCTCTCATTGGAAACTACTTTTAAACTCGGTCTTCCATGAAACCGGATATCAGTCTGTGGTTTTCCAAAGAAAAATTGCTAAGCTAATATATCTGTATGTGGCTTTAACTTAACAGTTGGTTAAGTGCCACGAATCAGCTGAATTATGTCCAAACTGTAGATCAGGAAAATAATAAGCTGGCTTCATTCTATCTCATGTCCAGAACTGGAAACTGAAGTTCATAGAAGCTTTAAGTTTCTGCTTTTCCGTCCTTGTAGAATAATCTTTATTATTTTGCAAATATAATTTGCGACTTACACTTTGTATTCTAGCCTGCAGAAAAGTACCCTGGCGTATTCTCGAAAGAATCCTTATTCGGGAGGTATGCGATGCCTTGCCTGTTCTGTACCTTTGTTACTCTCAACTGACCATATATCTAAAGTTTTGTGTTTGGTGCAATCTGTTTTCTCCAATTTCTTTCCTCTCTTGGTGAATTAGAAATTGATGTGTGGTTTCTACCATTGCAGATTCCCATATTTGTTACCTTGTCTTATGATATCACTATTTGCATTAGTTGCGACAGTAGTCTCCTTTTGGCTTCCGGTATGACTTATGTTCTGGATACTTTATCATCTGATTTTAAGTGCCACCTATATCTGTTTCATATTCTTTTTTAAAGTTATTTTGTGACAGTAAGTATATGCTGATGCTTGATATAATCTATTTCAATCAACAGAATGAACTAAAGTTTCTAACATAGCTAGCTAACTTGACCTAAAACATTGGAGGAAAATAATATACCTGGACTATTTTCTGCGATTGACAACTTATAACACATTACAGGAGACACTGCACAAGCATAACAAAACAAACGAACATCAAAGTCATCTCCATGATGTTGCAGAAGGAACTACAAATGGTTTATATTTGTCTGACAGCATGAAGCACTCTGAACGCAGAATCCCAAATTCCCAGAAAAGCCTTCTTAAGAATTGGCCCTTAGTGTCAGCTATTATTGTCTATTGTGTTTTCCAGCTTCATGATATTGCCTATTTAGAGGTATTTTTGCCTTTCCTTCTGAATTTATGTTGATTAGAATTTGATATGTCAACCTTATTATCACATTCCAAATCATGTTCTAATGTGAAAGAAGAAGTTCTCATGTACAAAGAATCTTGATCTACGACTACATTTAATTAAAATGTAAAAGGTTGCAAGTATTATATACTTGTGCTTAAAGTTCTCACCTATGAAAACCTTTAAAAACATATGTGACATGGATCTTTTATTGGTGTTGACGTATCCATGTCAAATGAGTGATATGAGTGTAAGTACTTTGTGGAAAATCTTAGAAACATACCAAAAATTGGAAAAAATCGCACAGTACTATGTTTTGATATGTACCAGTAAATGAGTCCACTGTTCAGATATGCACCTGTAAATGTGTCCACATAACATAGTTAAAATCTTTGGAGTTACATTTGACTAATTTCTCTCAACATCTGGAATTAGCGGACAGACACATAAGATTAGTTACGAATTCAAAATTGTGCATCTGATCATCTTCAATATTTCTTGCTCATCTTCTTGTTTTTCTGCAATTGAAGTCATATGGATACTGTAATAGTTTGGTTTATCTAGCATTCTAGGGAGCTTAATAATTTATGGTCGATAGACTTAATCAATGAATTGGTTTTATATGCTTCTTGACGGTCAACTACAAATTTGTGAGTTCATCAGAAGATAAAGTGTTTGTGATTGAAGCAGTCTAAGGTCATTCAATGCCTCACGTTCTACAATTAATGAAGTATAACTTTATAAAGATTGTCAATTTGAACTTAGCTGTCATGCCTTGGTCTTAACATGGTATCCCGCTCATCAAATTTGATTATTTCCATATAAATTTGTGTGTGGGCATAACTTATAATCGTTCTATTTTTTCAGATTTTTTCATTGTGGGCTGTCAGTCCAAGGACCCTTGGGGGTTTAAGCTTTACAACTACTGATGTTGGACAAGTTCTTGCCATCACAGGTATATAGACAGTTTGAATCTCTGCAGAAAAAGAATTATGTGCCATATGTGGTTAGTCAGGTTATTCGGATGATTAAGCATTTTCTCCTTCAAGAAATCTCGAAGATGTCAATTGAACCATTATATTAGCCTTAAGGTGCTAGAATCAATTACTAAATCCCATGCTTATTTTCTCGAAATTCTTTTAAATCTAATAGTAATATGGTTTCCATCGCAAGAATTCACTTCTTGGATTTTGGATATTGGATAGTGTGGAGTGCATTTAATAAAGAGCATTAATCTCTTTCATGATCTACCAGGTGTTGGTTTGTTACTCTTCCAGCTATTTGCTTACCCATTGGTGGAAAGGATTGTGGGGCCTGTCATGATTTCTCGCGTTGGCGCAGTATGCCCCTAATAGAACTGTGATCTCCCTTTTATTTCCTCTTCTGTTTACTTCATTTATTTGTCTTGGTTTTGAATTGAACTTATTCATCTTTCAGGTATTAAGCATACCATTGCTGGCAAGCTATCCGTGTATAGCTTTGTTATCTGGTTTCTGCCTATCCATAGCTCTTAACTGCGCATCTATGTTAAAAAATGTGCTCTCGGTAAGCCTTTTCCTCAAATCATTGTGTTCTTCAGTTTCTAATATTATTATTGATTGAAAATTTAATAATGCGACCTACGAAAAATTTAGGCATAATGTTACTTTTATTAGTTTCTTTTAGGATTTAACATGTTTTTGTTCGACAGTTAGTCCCCATCAAGCACTACGAATATTCACCATTACCAATAATGCAGGATATATAGGAAAGAGAGAGAAGCTATTACTTTATTTTTGCCTTGTTAGACTCTTAGTTGGATTTGTGATAGAGAATTTTAAAATTGAGAATCAAAGGTGTTATGGTAATTCTGTAGCAAGTCTCAAGCAGAGATGATTAAAATGTGACTTTTCAAGCCAAAATCCTGCTTCATAGAGGTTAATGGATAACTGTCTGTCTCTTCAGTGGTTGATATAAAAGAACTTTTGCCTATTTCTCTTGATGACTAAGGTTCCCTGTAGGCCTGTACAAAGTTCTTCCCATTTGGTCAACAATATCCTTTAAGAAAAAACCGCCATCAACGAAGATTTAGTTCTATACACCAACCGAGCAGCTCTGTTTAAGAAGCCAACCCTCAAGTGAACCATACTCGGGGAAATTCTGAAACCACAAGTGTATTAACATCAGTTGTTTACAGCCGAGACGCTTAAGATCTGTCAAATGGAATTTAGCTAATCAATGGACCTTGGAATGCTGTAGGTTTTCACTGACTCCTGATGTACATGACTGAAAATAGGGTTATTTAACTAACTAATGGGAGCTAAGTGGAATGTGTTAGGTTGCTGTATACCAACTCTCGACGTCCATGACGAAATGTGAGGGTTATTTAGTTTAACTGAAATACCGATGTTATTCTCTCTGTTAGAGCGATCTAATGGCTTTGACTGTACATCTGAACAGCTAAAAAGTTGAAATAATCTCATTATGTCCTCATTTTACTTTTTTTTCATGAGTGAACCTCATGATTTTTACAAAATATTTTATTTTCTTGGAAACATAAATTTTTTGTATTGACCTAGATATTTTTTTTTGTTATAGTTCCTTTCTGAGAGGAGTGAGAGGCTAGCCATAATGTCAGTTTGTGTTTGTTCAACTACCTTTGGATTACTTTTGCAAATCCACGGGGTTCATAGATTTTTGCATGGACTATTTTGGTCTAAGTGGTTACTTTCATGCATAATCAGGTATCGATCACCACTGGATTGCTAATTATGCAGAACAGGGCTGTGGTAGGTTCATTTTCTCATATCTACCTTCTTGCTCATTGTGTGAAGTTTGTTGAGTGTGACAAAAGTTGTTAATCTCAGGCCCAGGAGCAAAGAGGAGCTGCAAATGGCATTTCTATGTGTTCAATGTCTTTTTTCAAGACAATCGGCCCAGCAGCTGGGGGTTCGTTGTAAGTTTCCAACTTTTTTCTACAATCTCTTCTCTTTACCTTCATCGATATTTGATCCTTCAGTCATACGTTTGCAGTTTTAGCTCTAATTTCAGTTTGCTAAATAAGCCAATTCAAATTAGAAAGTTGCAATGTGTGCTTGAGTAGATTTTCATATCTAATATTCTCTGATGTTCTATGTTATGATGTTATCAGCAGTTGTGAATGCTTACGTGCTATACTTAAATGCACTTCTGTTTCTGGTTGTTTGCTCGACTTAGACCTTGTATAAATTGTTTTTGTTTTGCACTTATGATCTGCTGTCCACTAATCTAGATGTCTATTCAAGATCATTTCTCATTATCACATCATGTTCTACAATATATGCAGATTGTCCTGGGCACAACGGCGTCAAGATGCTGATATTTTGCCAGGTAAGAAGACAAGTTAAATTGGATTTAAGCTTGTAATGTGAAACCGTAATTCAAGAGTTTGCTATTCAAGTGCCAAAAGAAATTCATGATATAAATCAATCTGAACAAGCATCTATGTAACATATAAATAGATGGAATATGGCTTAATGATCAAAAAAGTAACACAGGACTTTCAAGATAAAGCAGTGATTAGCTGATTACATGAGATGAGTTGCCAATGGTAAAGATTCTGATGGATGGTAGTGGTTCCAGTTACTTATAGATGTCTATTGTGAGTAAATGCTAAAGAGGAAATTAGCATCATATTGTTTTTATTTCTTAGAATTTCTAAATATTTGGCTACAAATAAGAGTTCTATGCTACATACATCACAAACTCCTAGATTGAATATGTTTGGTTCGTCCATTATATAAGTTCATATCTAACCGAAATCAATAGCCCCGAAAAGTGTCGAAAAAGTTATATAATATACCTTGATATCAAAGCCATTAGTCTCCTAATCTTTGTTTTTAACTAACCAAATGTTGGAAATGTGATGTTATAATGCAGGTGACCAGCTGGTTTTCTTCGTCCTCAATGTGATTGAGTTGTTGGGCTTGCTTTTGACCTTCAGACCATTTCTACAAGAGCCTGAAGACAACATTTCTAAGTCCAAAAATGACAGCGCAGATCAATCAGAAAATGGCATACAAGAGACGCTCTCACTAACAGAGTTGCCTTGAGTTACCAAAATAAGCAACTATATCACAAGTCAAATATACGGACAAAATCTTCTTTTGCTTAGAATAATTTACAATCAATTTCTATTATATTATTTTGATTGTTTCTTCACCAAAAGATGTCTGAAATCACGCTACTGCTAAATACAGTTAACCATGCACTTAACCAAGATAAATCAACTGAAATTGAAAGGTAAACGATAAAGCTAACTGTATATTTGGATCATTATTCATTAATAGAATGACATTCTTTTTAAAAGAAAAATTGCAAATTAGTTAAATCTCTCTTCGTTCCTCTCTCCCTTGCTTCCTCTCACTCTCTGGGGATGAGTAAATGGTCAATAGTTCTCTACAAATGTAGTCCCCTCACTCTCTGTGAATGAGTAAATGGCCGACCTCTATAAATGACATTTGTAACTTGATCTCTATATTGTTGTTGAATAATTTCCTCTGTCTTAAATTATCTGTCATGTTTCTCTTTTATACGGTCCTTAAGAAACATTAATTAGAAGGGATTTTTGACTATTTTATCTTTATTCATATTTAAGATACTATTTTTAGTGTACGTGCGTTGCACATAAACTTTACGTCTAATAATATGAATTATTGTGTAATACTGATGTCAATATATGAATATAAAATAATATGACTACGTTAGTATTTAGATATTTTCTCAAACGTAAATCATCTTTTAAACCAAAGTATTAACCAACATAATCTTCTATCCTAAAAAAATAAATTGGATGGTAAAAAGAATAAGACTTAAGCGGAAAATAATTATTCCAAAATCCTACAAAAACATCAAAAACAAAAGTAACAACAAACTAAACCAAGAAAAAACTGCCAAATATTACATAATATTCTATAAAACAAAAAAATATAAAAGATTAAGAGACTCACATGCTAAGGCGTAATTCATATCTCGTTTGGCGAGGAACAAAATAAATAGTAAGCTACCTCGATATACTTTGTTGTGTTAGTTTTACAAGATCCAAAAGCTTCTAAGATATAGAATTGACAACCTAAAACTTGGATAAAGAAAACACAAAGGTTAGACAATACCAAGTTAAGAACATAAAAGAAGATGATAAATAAAAGCAAAAGCACTAATAAGCAATAAAAGAGTTTGAATCACAATCAACTATTAAGACTTAATGAAAATATCAAGCTTGTCATATGGCAAACTAAAAAGAACATAAAAGAGAATTCAAAGCAAGACTCTTTTCAAGTTAAAGCAACAATCAACAATGGAAGACAAACAAGGTAAAAGGCACAAAAAAATCACTCTTAAAACAATAATGAAATCTTTAACCGAGAGTGACTAAACCTTGGTGTCATTTAAAATTGGTAACGTTTATAATGCCCTTTAATAGGGATATTCCTGCGTATTCTTTTAATTTTTTTTTCCTTTTGAGCCCAATAATTCGATGTTACTTTTAATTTTGCCAAATACTATGAGTATTATACTTTTGTGTCATATATAACTTATGTTTACCTATTTTTAGTAGCTTTAAAGTAGTGCTAATCTACGGAAAAAATGTAGTACAAATATAAGTACTTAATTTCTAAGTTTTAATAATAAAAAAATTATAATTTACTACAACTTTAATATTAATGTGATTTAAATAAGGAAACCTATATAAAATAAAATTTAATTGCTTTTAGAATCCTAAATATGAAGGTTCTCTACATAATTCAACTATGGAAAATTTTAATAATCAGAATTATAGTTGATTTCAATGTTCCAGATATTAGGAAAATAATTAAATGATCATTATTACATATTAGGAAAATATTTAAATTACTATTTTATCCAATGTGAACTCTAATTTTAAAGGGTAAAAAAGGCGAACGACATTGCGCTAAGGGCCTTCATGCTTTTAATATAGTTTAGATAGATATAGATATAGATAATCTCTCTTCATTGAATATTTTTTTTTTATGTACCATCTCCATCTTCAAGAACAATTACTGCTAAGAGTAAATTGAGAAGAAAATAATTAATTTTGCCTTGAACTTCTAAAATGATATAATTTGAGACAACTATTTTTAAAAATTACGACAAATAATTTGAGACAAATAGGAAAAAGTAAAAGTGGAAAAACCTGCTATAATATTCGTATGTGATGTGCCATAGTGATGAGGTGGAGGCCGAACGCAAAACTGAGTTTAAAGACTATCATGAATAAAAGAGAAGCTTGTCTCTTGAAAACTAGTTAGAACAAAACTAAACTACTACTGCAATATCCATAAGAAGTGAGACAAACTACCAGCTTCAAAAAGTCTGGTCAACTCTAATTGAGTGTCATTTCAGCACAAGAGTCAAAAGAAGTAGATTTTTCAGCTAGTCTTTGTCTTCTAACAGAAATATTCTAGCTTCACTCCAATTCAAGTTATCCCTATACAAGTATAAGGATCTAGTTCAAGCACACGAACAAAGACAAGGACACATTAGCCTCTCCCTTTATTTTGAAACAACTGCATCTCGATGTTCCCTACTCAAATCTTACAAGAAAATCATTTCGATTGACAAAAAAGTAAAGATTTAGTTCAACAATACGAACAAAGACAAGTATGTGTTTGCCTCTCCCTTTACATTGACACGAACAAAGACAAAACATTTTTGCGGACTCCCTTTCATTGAAATAACTGTATCCAGGTGTTCAGTATTCATATCTTAAAAGAAGCAGTAAGTCATCGTCTTTCAACTGAAATGTCTGATTCTCCAATGCTCTTAAGGATTTTTCTTGCTTCTCCGTCATCATTATCATCCTCAGTTAGGCATTTTCTTTTCATCACATAAGTGTTGCCTCAGTACAGGACCTACCAGAAACAGAGAGCACATGTGCATTAAAATATAAAGAAATCAAGTTAGGGAGTTTGAGGATGGTTTGGGATAAAATATCATCACTAGATAAGATATGGCATGCAACAGGCAACACAAGCATTTTATCGACTTAATAAGCCATTGACATTCAAATTCTAAGTTCTTATACCCAAGAAATTATGGATCACAGTAAGAAGTGAAGAATTTACATCCTTTTTTGTATACACTATTTAATTTTCAAAGCTAATCACTTTGCCACTGTAACCTCTAAGCAACACCAACCTTTCCCAAGATAAATACCAGGTGTTTTCAACTTAGCACACTCCACCATCCAGTCTCAAAAGAACAATAACATACGTGATGATAAAAGAGAAGGTTTAATCTTGAAAACCAGAACAAAAATAAAATACTATACCATCACAATATCAGCCAAAAGTGAAACAACCACCAGCTTCAAAAGGTTTGGTCAACAACTCTAGTTGAGTGTCATTTCAGAACATAACCTAGAAGGAACACCACAACATTCTCTCTGAATTTCTTAGTAAAGTAAAACATATGTTAGTATACCAAACTTCTAATAAACTGGAAGCATAACACCACAAGATTCTCTATCCAGTTCTTGCTAGAAACAGTAGAACATATGTTAACATTCCTAATAGTAGCTATGAATACAGAAGATCGAAACGAGCCCAATAGCTCAAAAATTAGCTGTAAGGTTCATTGTGCAGCTTCCGCATCAACGCTGGAGTGAGAAGGTACCCCATCACCTGCCAAAAGGAAATAATCAAGATAAGACGGAAAGGTAAAGCACATTGGCTTATAAACAACTTAAATGCATCATTTTTCTCATTATCACTTGCCTATATAGAATATTCTAGCGATTCCAACCTCACAAGGTGAAAACCTTGAACAGGAAAATATACGCATTATTTTGGCACAAGATACAAGTTGCAACGACGATGTAATAAGATAATTTATATGCAGCTCAAATAGTGGAAACTTGCTGAAGAAGCTACATAAGCACAGGTGCATCTACAAGTCCACATGCACCTAGACCTAAATTAAAAAATCTCAAACCCATAGAGCAAAAGCTCACCAAGTGTTAAAACTAAAAGTTGTGTAATAGATCAAAAAGGTCAAAATGCCTTGGCCTTCACTATACTAACCCACAACAAACCAACAACAACAACAGACCTAGTGTAATCCCACATAGTGGGGTCTGGGGAGGGTAGTGTAGACCTTACCCCTATCTCATGGAGATAGAGATGTTGTTTCCAATAGACAGACCCAAAACAAACCACCTAACAAAAATCAAACAGAGAGTATGGTCGATGGTTACTATCTCATGATTTCGAACCAAACACATCTGGGACATGTGCATCAAAACTAGGACGTTTGTATTTATGTTGGTAAGTCTTCAAGGACGTCTTCTGCTAGCCCTCCCAATACTTTTGGATCCAGTTATAATCAAGGGTTTCAAACCCTCCATCAAGCAGGAGACAATAGCCAAAGGCATCAGCAAACTCTTAGTAAAACTAGCAATTGTATGGAAGCAAAGACGTAATATCTTTGCCTCTCTGGTAAGAACATTTGGATATTTGGAACTCCGCAACATATCCTAGCCAAGCCAACAAGTTGATAGCTACTTCACAAGTGGATACTGAACAGTGGTAAATCCTAAGGCGATGCATTTGTCAACCTCTGAACAATGTCCCATTATAAGTCAGTGACACTAATGAATGGGAGGAGAGCTGGCAGTGGAAACTAGAGAGAAGAAAATTTTATAAACACTAATGGATGGGAAGAGTAGATTTTGAAATTTGCCCATCATGATTTTGTTAGGGATAATTAAGTTTAATGACTCAGATCATCCTTATATTATGAGGGAGAAGTGGGATGGACGATGACTTAAGTTGAGAGCTCTACCATAAACGGGCTGAAATTACCTGAACCATATTCCAGTTACAAAGAAACAGTAGAAGGGTTGGAACTTGACGCTAGTATGTTATATGGTTTATGTTTAAAGGAAAAGGTAAAGTTTTGAACTTTGAAGTAATATGATATTCTTCTCTCTGCCCATGTGTCAGATATATGCAAACTGAACAACAAATACAAATCAATCGCTCAATGAATTAACTGCTCTTAGCTGTGTAATACAATAAGAAGTCCTCTTTGTCAGGAAACGACTTGTTTGAAAATATGAAACTTAAAAGAAAGAACTTCAATGTAAGATTAGCAAAAAATCAGAAACCATAAGTTTGTATACACCCTGATAGAAGATGCAGAGTCTACAAAGTTAACCTTTCTTAAGCCTGCAAAATTCCACACTTGGGGTTCCACCAATTTCGTCCCACACCAATGCTTGAAAGATCTTTGTTGTATCATCAGTATCCCTGGCTTGAAAGGTGAAATAAAACCACATCCCACCAGCAAATGATGCGTTTACCGTCACAATTTCCATGAACTCATACTTTTTAGCCTACAAAAGAAGACAGCCAGAAAAAAATCAATTACAATCAATATTAGCGTTCATACATAATCACATTAAACCAGAAAAAGAATAAGATAAGAACTTACGCTCTGTGAATTGAAATCTTCAATTGCCAAGCTGCACAGATTAGTGTGTTTCTGTTTTTTCTTGGGATCGGTCAGGTAACTCTTTAGTGGCACAATTGAGGAGTTAAACGAAGCACCGGGATAAACAGAGATATCGAAACCCTATTGAAGAAAAATTAAACGTAATGTCAATGAATATTAACAAAGTAAAGCATGCAATAATAATAGTAGCTAACCTCGCTCTCATCCAATTCTCTGTAATACTGATCCCAGACCTTGGGGTCCAACTTGGTACCGTCAATAAGCTCAAAATCAGAATCATCGGAGTCGTAGGCGTAGTGACTTTCCTTGGAATCATATGAATCATCAACTTCTTCTTCATCCAAACCCTCCTCTTCCTCTACCAATTCTCGTTTCCTCCCACGACAAGACAATTCACATCGCCTCTGCTTCTCGTCCATCGCAGTAAGCTCCCTGAACTGATTTTAGCCCTAATCCCTTTTTCTTCCAATTTAGGAATGTCTGTTCGTCTATGTGAATATTTAGCATTTTTTTTTTATGTCGCGTCGTTTGGCGGAAAAAAAAAATCAGAAATTGCTAGATTAGCCATAATTTCAAAAGTAATCAAAATTTAATCATTTTTCATAAAATATGGAAAAAAAAAATTCCTTTAAAAATCCGAAAAAAAATCTATATAATATGCTAGAGTTCGAGCATAATGTGCTGGAGTTGCAGCATAATGTGATGAAATTTCATAATGTGCTGGAAGTTTATACACAGGGATTCCATGATCCAACTTATTATGCTGGAACTTTCCGTGTGCTTGAATTCCAACATAATGTGCTAGAAGTTTCTATTCAGGAACTCCATAATTTAGTATTATGTTGGAACTTTTTGCGTTTCAGTAAAATAATGACTATTTTTCAATGACTTTGCAAACATTTGAGTATTTTTCAATTACTAGTCCGAAAACTAGCTAGCATGTGCTTTCACTTGTTTGGCTGACCAAAAAGCCTTCTTGTAATCTGATTAGGAGAAAAGATCCTAACTTGTTTGTGTTTAAACTCATTGTCATCCCTATTGTCTGACATGTTGCACTAATAGTCCTCTTTTTTCTTTTGGCCAAATTAGTGCACCTTTAGTCCCTCCTCTAACATCTAGTATTATTTTTGTAACTGCGTAGAGCTAAATTTTCCTTCTCTCCCCTTTTTCTTGTTCTTTAGCTCTTATCTTTCATACCAATTGAAGTCGCAGACACTTTCAAATCAATATTCGCTTTAGTAGTTATAACTAGTTTAGTTTAGTTTAGTTTCAATTCTAGTGACCTAAAGTGTCATTTAGTTTATTTGTTATTTTTATCATTTTTGTTGGTGTGCGAATTGGGAGTGAGTGAAGCATCTTTGATGGTTCTTATATCCCTTGGTTATAGTAAAAATACTAACATGTGCTCCATTAAGGGGAAAGGGTCAAATATAATCCTCTATTTTCGAATATTGTCTATATTTAACCTCTGTTATACTATCCGGCCAAATTTACTCCTACCGTTATACTATCCAGCTAAATTTATCCCTACCATCAGTAAACTTCTAAAAATTACCTCTTGATCTGTTAGGTAATCTAGAATCTCCCAATTTCCTTTTATTTAAATTACTTGTTGTTCTTCCTGCTCCACTATTTTCAGAAGTTACTATGGATATGAATACTAAAGATACTAGACTATATAAATTATTCATGAATATTTTTAGTTATCATTGCATCCACTTCTCTTCTTGTGATAATGTGTTTGAAATTATTTTAAAATTTTATTTATTTTTCAATCACATACACACTATAGAATTCAAGAGGCCTATTTATTATGTATTATATGCAGTTGTTCATCATGTATATAAATGTATATCTGAATATATTTTGTTATTGTCTGGTTAGTATAGAGTTCAATTGACTAACTTACTAGTGCACAATGCGTAGGCATTTGATTAAAGCAAAGTTGAATTCGATGATGTAAAGTCTCCAAGGAACTTCAACTTCTATCACTAATACTTGCAAATTCTCAATACCTTTGGTGCAATGAAGTCATTAAAGTTAGGGTGTTGTAAATACTTTTAGAATTTAGACAAGCTACTTAATTTAGATTCTTCAATTTACTATACTTTGTTTACTAACCATTATATTATTTTAATATTTCTGTCTCTTATTTTGTTTTCAATTAAGAAAGCAGATAAATGCCAACTATTTCGAAAATAGTGTATCAAGAATAAGAATAAGTGACTTAGTTAAAATCATTTGGGAGATTATGGGTCACCCGACGGACTGAGAGGTAATTTTTAAAAGTTTGCTGATGGTAGAGATAAATTTAACCGGATAGTATAACATTAGGGGTAAATTTGTGGCCAATTACGATGGTAATTTTTTCGTTTTATACTTTTGTTTGATAAATATTGGAGTAGTTTAAATAATCCTTTTTCATTAGGCAAATCGTTGTAAGAAAAGAACCTACATTGTTTCGTTTCATGTAAGTAGGGGTGTTCATAAAAACCCAAAAAATCGAACCAAACCGACCAAAAAAATCGATACTTTTTGGTTTGGTTTGGTTTTGAATTTTAAAAACCAATCAAATTTGATTTGGTTTTGGTTTTAATCAGAAAAAAACCGAAAAATAACCGAACCAACCGACTATAAGAGTAGCTATTTCAAATTTATTATTACACCTATATATATGTATACTTTTATACAAAGTTTCAAAAATTTAATGGAATGTTAATAGTTTGCACTTTTAGTATAGTGTTTTACCTTTACATTCTAGTTTGATTGGTAGTTTTCTTTTATTAAGTGTAAGAATCTATTTCGTGTCAAAAATAATATATTTTTAATTGAGTCCTTAAATTATTCATCACTATTTCTTGGTAAATAATAGATTTCTCAAAGGGCAATTGATTTGATAGTGTTACGTTGAAAATATGATCTCCGGAATATGTGTTTGGTAGTGTATGTCTTATATTTAAGAAAAAACCGACAATAACCGAAAACCGAAAACCCGACATAAACCGAATCAAGAAAAAACCAACTTAATTGGTTTGTTTTGGTTCTAATATTTGAAAAACCGACCTACTTGGTTTGATCTTTTTAGGGAAAAATCGATCCAAAACGAACCATGAACACCCCTACATGTAAGTAAGCATACTTAAATCTTGGCAACTTTATGATCACATCTAAATTGTGGTTACTGAAATCTGTTTTGCATTTCAATACATTGTGCTAAACACTATATGCGCAATATGTATAACTTTATAGGCAAATCTGCATTGAAGATAATACCAGTTAGAAGCAGAAAATGACAAATTTAAAGCACTGAAAATCAAACCAAAAATAAAAAGAACCTAACAAGACATAGTATGGTTACGATATGATGCGTTTTTTTCTTGTTCCAAAAATGAGACTGAAAGATCGAATCAAAATAACATAATACCAAACCAAATTATAAACCTAATGCACATTCTCATTTTTTATGTAGCTTTCAAATAAGTAAATTTTATATATTTAAAAATAGAAGCATCATTCTTGAGCTCCAACATTTTAGTATAAGGTTTGTGACATCTACTTTTTATCCTTTTTCACATAATTTTTCTAATTAAATAAAAATGAAAACCCAAATGCTTATAGGCATATACTTCTCTAACAAATGTAAAATAATCTAAAGTTTCAAATCTTTTCTCAGCTTTGTGCAAATTAAAATTAAAAGGCTGGATGTCGAATGGAGGAAGCATTAGTTAATTGTACTTCTAGAAGTTCTGTGATCGACAAAGAATAATTGTTGGAGCAATATGAAGAATTTATAGACATGACGTGAGATGAACAAAATACTCATGAAATAATGTCGTTCTACTATGAATAAGTTTCAATTTCTCTATGAACATAAATCGCATTTTATACATTTAATTCCGAACTTGTTGATTTAATCCTAAATTATCGTGGTCAAGTGCTAACTTAAAGTGAAATTATGTATAAATTTACTACTATGATTCAATGAAAACCATGTTTGCAAAAATGTCTTGTGTATTATTTGAATTTGTGTAGACACCGGATGCGCATAAATTACCCTATGTGGATAAGTAAATGACCAATAGTTCACGAATTACAATCGTAGCTTGTTATCTCAATATTGTTGCTAAATATTAGGAGATATTGGGCCGAGGAGCAGATCAGGAATATTACAAAAAAGGCCTAATTAATAGGAAGACCATATCAAGGAAGTCAAAGGAGTCAAAGCTATTTAATGAGAAAATAATCTAGAGGGTAGCTAGGCTTAAACCCGACCCAAATGCTTTAAAATTAAAAGAACTGGCAGCTGAACCCTCATTCTCGAAGGAACAAAACACGGCAAAATCTTGCCCTATGGCTTTGGCAAACCAGAGCTCAGACAATTCCCCTTCAGACGCAGTTGATGAAGGGATCCCACGAGAGAGAGTCCACATGCCACTTTGCATGCACTCGCCAACACTGGATTTGGTTCCAGCAACTAGCTCAGACACTGACTTTTCTTCTCAGGCAGTATGTGAAGCCCTTCCACCGACATGGTATGTAAGGCTGTATTCTGGGCCGGGCCCGGGCCTAAATGGGCCGGGCTAAACAGGCCTGGGCTTAGCGGTCCCGGGCTTCACAGTCCCGAGCTTCATGGGCTCAACGGGTGGAACCAGCCCATGACGGGCCTAAGCCCACATGGTCCTGGGCTAAATGGGCTGGGCTCGCGGACCCATACGGGCCTAACGGGCTTTTTTTATTTTCAGGCTATTTTTTTTTAACTTTTTTGTTTAAGGCAATTTCTTGTAAACCATATATGTATATACTAATATAAATTGCTCTTATACATGGCTATATAAATATATGTGGTATATATAATATAGAAACCTAATTATTAAAGTGCTTGAAGAAAAAGTAAAATAACAAAACAATAGTAAAACTAAATTATCATGCATAATAAATTAATAACAAAGTAAACATTAAACATAAATACGTCTAATAATTTTAAAATAACACAAATTGTCGAAAAATCTTAAAGACGAATTTCCGGATAAATACGCTCAAGACAATACTTTATATGCCTCCTTAAAATGTCTGCGGTACACCCTGAACGAAAATTTAAAACTCTTCCACAGTTCTTGCACTTTAATATTTGGCCTTCTTCATTTTCTTCAAGCACTTCAAAGTGGTGCGAAACAAATAAGCGCACTCTTTCCGAAAGGTATGATTTAACTTGAAATTTGAGATTGAGACTTGAAAATTGGAGATTGAGTGATTGAGAGAAATTTAGATTGAGAAATGAGTATTGAGTATTGAAATGAAGAAGAGGGAGGGGGGTATTTATAGTTTTAGAGAAGGTTAGTTTTGTAAATTGAAAAAAATAAAAAAATAGACTATTTGTGCAATATGACCGTTGGCAATGGTCATTGGGGGTGGGGCCCTCCTTTTGAAAAATCTTGTAATGTTTTGTAGTATATATAGTATGTTAGTATATATATCTATATATATATATATAGTA